GAGCACTGGGTGTTGTACGGAAACCAATTTGACAATAAATTTCATATATTGAAAAAAAAGAAAAAAAATTTAGTTATTATTCCACCGCTTAGTTCACCAATGGACACCAGTTTTTTTTTTAATTTATAACTAAAAAATAACACTGTATTAATTTCAGGTGTACAGTATAATGAATGACCTGATATTTGCATATACTGCAAAATGGTCACCAGAGTAAATCGAGCCTACATCCATCACCATACATTGGTTACAATTTCTTTCTTGTGATGCAAGAACTTTTAAAATCTACTCTCTTAGCAACTTTCAAATATACAATATGGTAGTGTTAACTAAGGTCACCATGCTGTACATTACATCCCCAGGACTTATTTATTTTATAACTCCAAGCTTGCACCTTGTGACCACCTTCACACATTGTAACCACCCCTCACTCCAGCCTCTGGCAACCGCCAATCCCCTTATTTATGTATGAGTTTGGTTTTTACAAGTTTTCTTAAACATAAACTGAAGTTGAAATTAAGGTAGTATAAGAGACTCTTAAAAACTGAGAACAAACTGAGGGTTGATGGGGGGTGGGAGGAGGGGAGGGTAGGTGATGGGTACTGAAGAGGGCATCTTTTGGGATGAGCACTGGGTGTTGTATGGAAACCAATTTGACAATAAATTTCATATATTAAAAAAAAAAGAAATTAAGGTATCCCATGAAGGATTAAGAAATTAATATAAAATACAAAATAATTAATCCCAGTTATGGAATGATACAAAGATAGCTAATGTATAATACAGTATATTGCTTTGAACACAAAGGGTGGAGGTATGAATATTATAGTAGGAAAAAGGCAAAAAAAAAAATCTTAAACAGAAAATCTCATGATTTAAGCTGGATGCAATAGTGGATCTGGAGAAAACACAAAAGCACTATAGTCAGTTTAGTAATGGCATCTGAAAAAATTTCTTTATATCCCAATACCTAGCAAATAGTAAGTAAATACTGATCAGAACAAAAATGCTAACATTTCACTTAAAATATTTACAATCTGTTTACAAATAAAGTTCACTTGCAAAAATAAACTAATTGTTCCCAATTATTTATTACAATAACCCGTTTCTCAACCAAACCATTAAATTTTAAACTTTTCAATTGTAAAAAGAAAAATAATTCAATCACAATTAAAGAGATAATGGTCATGAGCTGTTGTCAAGTCACTATTAGGTATGCTAGGAAAATAAGTAACTGTCTTTTATTTTCCTTTATTTTTTAGAGAGACAGAGAGAGAGCAGGCGAGAGGGTCAGGAAGAGGAAGAGAGAGAGAGAGAGAGAGAGAGAGAGAGAGAGAGAGAGAGGATCTTAAGCAGGCTCCACACTCAACATGGAGCCCCATCTCATGACTGCCCAGCCCCGATCATGACCTGAGCCAAAATCAAGAGTTGAACCGACTGAGCCACCCAGGTGCCCCAAGTAATTATCTTTTAATACTACTCTCTAATGCTGATTTTAGAGCAATTTAATATTAATACTATCCTCTGAAGCATTAGTATTGATAAACCAATGGTACAGAATATCCAAGCAACTATTAATGTTATTACTAAAGAAGTATCACTCAAGGGGCGCCTGGGTGGCTCAGTTGGTTAAGTGACCAACTTTGGCTCACGTCATGATCTCACAGTTGGTGAGTTCAAGCCTCGCGTTGAGCTCTGTGCTGACAGCTCAAAGCCTGGAGCCTACCTCAGATTCTGTGTCTCCCCTCTCTCTACCCCTCCCCTGCTCACGCTCTTTATCTGTCAATAATAAATAAAAACGTTAAAAAAACTTTAAAAAAAAATCACTCAATTGTTAAATGTTTTTATTGAAGTTAGTAGTCTGACACCTCAAGTAGCTAGTTTACCTGCTAACAATATTTTTAGAGGGCTCTTATACACCAAGTACTTTCAGATACACTGCTATACCTTATCATTAAAAAACTACCTTGTGAAATAGGTTATTACCTTCATTTCTAAGTGAGTTAACCATTCTTCATCTGTTAAGTACTTTTTTTCATGATAACAAAACTTACAGTCAAATATGTGAACATTTATTGAAAACCTAATATATGATGGGCCCCTAAAGATAAAAACATACTAAATAAAATAGTCTCAGCTCTATCTAACCAAAAATTTAAACCATGTAAACAAATAATTATAAAAGACTGTAGGGCTATAAGAGAGTAACCATATAGTGTATCATTCAAATAGGAACTTTTGTTAGAGTAGAAGGTGACACTATTATCATATGAGAACAACAGGCATTAACTGGGACATAAGTCTCACTATAGTAACAATCGAGTTATACGCCAAGTGCTGTACTAAATGAAATGTCAAATTTGAACCCAGGTCTGATCTCTCTCCACTGTATGTATAACATATACACATAGATTACCAGCTAGTAAGCATCAATCCTCTAACCTTATAAGAAAAAACATTTTAAAACAATGATTTTAAAAAAGTATCTCAAAGATAATCTCTTATCTCCTAATTTCCAAAGTTTTCTAATAAACATTTTTTCTCAGCCATTTCAACTACTATATTAAAATGTAAACTATCTTATCTCTAAACTGATGATTTTTTAGTTCTGTTTCAAAAAGAACTTCTTTCTTATATTCTAGAAACGTCTATCTTTTGGATATTGCTACATGATATGCAAGCATGTCAAATTCCACATGTCCAAACAAAATGTATGTTCCACTATCTGTAACTCCTACATATCACTGTTCTTCTGGGCACAGATATTCTCAAAAGAATCTAAAATCCAACTGCCAAGTAATATCAATTCTACCACCAGTGCATTTCAGATCTATGTATTCCTTGCATTAGTCATTCAACATCAATTAAGTACCAATTACATTAAAGACAGTGAAATAAATTCTTATTTCTCATTCAGACTACTGTGAATCCATACTTTGCAAAGGTAACTATAAATATATTTATCCCCCTCTTCCTCCAGACTCTGACTCTTCTAACTTACTGCTACCAGATAAATCTGGTAAAACCATAAATCTTAGCTTGTCTTGAGGCACTTCAAAAACCTGTAACAGTTTTTTGGACAGTCAAAAAGAATTAAATTCAAATACCTTCGCATGACTTTAAAGACCTTCCACAATATGTTGCAATCTCATCTCCTTATCACCAGACTTACTCCAGCTTCAAAGTCCTAATAACAGAATGTATCTAATGCTTTCTTTTTCTGGGCAATGGACTGATAAAAACTGCTTTGGGATTTTTTTTTTTTTTTTTTTTTTTTTTTTTTTTTTTTTTTTTTTTAATGCAGAAGTAGGTAAGTGATACATACACACATGACCTCTTCTTAGAATTCCCTTCTTTTTTCATCTATCCCCACTCTCAAAGCTAAAAATCTACCTCCTGACCGGTCAAAAAGCTCCTCTTCAATCAAACTTTGATTCTCCAGACAGAATTAATGTCTCCTTCCCAAATCAACAGGTATTCCTACCATAAGTAGACACTATTACAGTATTTGTGTTTATTTCAGTATAAGCTCTAAAAGAACATAATGTTTTACTTATTTTTTACTCCACACAATCTCACACAGAGCAGAATTGAAATACATGAAAGTAATAAAGGAAACAGCCCAAACAAGTGATACTGTTATTTCATTTCAGTTAATCCTGCTTGTGTTCTTACCTGCAGGATCCCAAGTTATGTTGTGTGCTATTGATTCCAGAAAAAATTGGCCACTTTTCTGCCATTGACTATATAATTCCTAAAATTAAAAAAGAAGTCATTTAGCCAACTATTATGGGCAGCATTTTTCTGTCAAATATATACATTCATTTATTATTATCACTTATTATTCATAGTAACACATGAAGTCATTTTCTTTGAGGTACAATCGACCATGCAGTCATTTTGAAGGAGAAGAAAATGTTCAATTCAGTCAAGAATAAGAAATATGCAATGGAAGAGAAGAGTGAGAGAATGAATACCCATTCATGGAGGTCCAAAAAAGTTTGTCTTCAGCATAAACAACCAATAACTATATGACATGTTGGAGAACATTCTCTTTAACCTCACACTTTCAAAATTACAATGTTTATCGTATTATTATAATAGTTACAAAGGTTTAACTTTAAATTTGTCTGTGTCTGTGCTATCTGAGGCTTCCTTCTCTTTTAATTGTTTCATCCTCACCTGAGATCATAAGGTATGTGTGAAAATTCAGAGTAAGAAATGAAACACTTCCATTATATTACATAATTTGTGACATTATCATTTCTGAAAGCAATACTTTTCAAACTTTTTTACCTGTAGGTCACTAAGAAATGTATGTTGCAATAGGGCCAAAACACAAACAGACATAAATGCAATCTAAGTTTACCCCCTTACTACATGTGATGCACGGTAACATCTTCTATTTTACCTCATTTTCTTTTAAATTCAGGCTATGGCCTACTAAGTTGATTTCACTAACCTCAAAAAGATTGAGACCCACAAATAATCTTTTAATGTAGTGGTTTTCATACTTTAGTACAATAACCTGAGATGTTTACTTAAAATTCAGATTTCTGAGATGCACATCCAAAGGTTTGGGCTAAAAAAATCCAAAATGAGGAATCTGTACTTTAAATCAATGCCCCAGGTGATTCTGATACAGGTGGTCTGCAGAATATGCTTTTATGAAACACTGCCTCGCAGGAATGGCTTTTGATCATAGTGCACGTCAGAACCCTCTCTAGAACCAGACACAGAAGTGCCTAGGCACAACGCCACACCTACAGATTTAGAAATCCCGAGGGCAGGATGGATACATGGACCAGCTAGTGATTCTGAAGTTGTCTTCCCATGAAGAACCACCACCTTAAAAGAATATTCCAGAATGCACAAAGAAAAGGAAATAGTACCTTTTTTATGAGGATCTACAGATTCTCTTAGACTATACCCAGGAATTACAGATTCTATGTACCTTCCAAAGTCCATTTTTCTATTTGATCCAGTTTTTCCCTTACACATCAAGGTTTTTTGTTTGTTTGTTTTTGTTGTTGTTGTTGTTTTTTACCCTTTCTGCAGTCAGGGTTGCCTACCAATAAACCAACTTCTTCTTACTGACTTTTTAACAATATATTAAACAATTATAACCAGTACATGACAAAGTGGGCAAAAACTAAAATTCCTGATTCTACCCTTACTGATAAAGCTATTTTAACATAACTGATTTTTTTAAAGTCAGTTATTTCATTCAATAAATATTTATGGAATATTACTTGAAATATATCATCCCGAGCAGAGCAATCCCTTTTTTTTTTTACTACTTTCAATTACTAATTCACAGGTTATTAGGGCTTCTAATATTGGATTCATTTGGTAACACAACACAAATATAAATCAGGGGAGAACTGTGGATTCTCCTTCCGGGAAGTTTTAAAGTGAGTATCAGTTAACCTAAAGAAAATATTTTTCATTAACACAAAGTACGGAAAAGAAAGTCCACACGTAGGAATCAATACAGCTAGTTTTACTTAGTTCTGCGGCTCAGCAGCTGTTTCACTGGTTAACTAACTTATTTTCTTTGGGCCTCTGTTGTCTTACTTATAAAAAAGAAATAACAGCTGTCATACTAAGTCAGAGGGAATTTGTAAGATACTAAGGAGGTAAGTGAAAATGAAATGAAAAATACTCAAAGATATATAAAGGTATGTCTATTATTAAAACACCTCAATTCTTTTTTTTTTTTTTAATTTTTTTTTCAACGTTTATTTATTTTTGGGACAGAGAGAGACAGAGCATGAACGGGGGAGGGGCAGAGAGAGAGGGAGACACAGAATCGGAAACAGGCTCCAGGCTCTGAGCCATCAGCCCAGAGCCTGACGCGGGGCTCGAACTCACGGACCGCGAGATCGTGACCTGGCTGAAGTCGGACGCTTAACGGACTGCGCCACCCAGGCGCCCCAAAACACCTCAATTCTTTACATTTAACATACTTCTGCACAGTTTCTGACATCATGTCATCATTACAATATTCCCACAAAGAATGAATCGCTATTAGCCAATTTCAGAATTGATCAAAGAGCCTCGTAAGACTGACTTGCTTAGGATCAAATGGCTAGAAAGCAGCAGAGAAAGCAAGCAAGCAGTGCTCTTAAGACCATACTTTGGTGATCCTCTTTCATAGGACTTAAATCACCAGTTTAATCTTCAGTGGAAATGGGTAAAATAAGCTGGTCTATTGTATCTAGGGCATTCAAGCACCCAAGAAATTTACTACATAACCTTTGTACTTATGAAATATTGTTTTAACCAGCTTTCAGAACTATTTCTGAATACAGTTTCTCTATAAAGAAAAACATTTACTGACCTGTTAACAGTTATATTACACGAACATAGTAAGTGCAAAAAAATAAGCCCTGGAGATATGTTAAGACTCTGCAATTAAAACATGTAACTTTAAGAACAAAATACACAAGAAACAGCAGAGAAACTATATAAAAGTAGATAATAAAAACCAAAAACAAAACAGTCACCCCACCTACATAATGGTGCTTGCCATTAGCAATAAATGAAGTGCCAAACTTAAAGTTGTTGACACTTGAAATATTTATTATAAAAGAAAAACATCAGAAGAAAAAAAGTATTTTCAGGCAATTCATCAACACAATTTAGTTTAATTCTACTTCAATCCAAGATTTAAAACATATTTTAAATATGGAAGTGGCATTTAACATGTATCTACAATTATGGTATAATTTATACTGATTTATTTGATGATCACTCTGATTCTACACCCTTAAAAAACAGTCTTTGAATACTCAAGACATTTCAATTCCTAAAAGAAAAATGATAAATTACTGACCAAATTTTTCTTTTGCTTCGGTAGGTTAACTGGTTCAAACACAGAGATAACATTTCCATAGGATGCTGCAATCTTTTAAAAAGAAAAATAAAGAAAACTTATGGATATGTTAACTTACTTATGAATCAAAAGAGCAAAAGAAATTAGTAATATAACTTAAAATAAGCCCCCCACCAACACAATTTCATTCATCAATACTTGAAATGTCAGTTTTAAGAGACCACCATACCCAAATCAGAATTCTAGTACTGTCACTTACCAACTGGGTAACTAGCAAGTTAATCTCTTTGCATCTTAGTATCTCTATCTATTTATCTATATTTATAATATGCATAATACTATCTTCCTAATGGAATTAGTTGGAGGATTAAAACAATGGCTATAAAATATCCAGCATATAATTATCTTATAAGATGCATGGTAAATATTAATTCTCTTCCTCATAGAAAAAAAAAATGTACTTATGTATTCCTTGTCAGGTGGAAATCAGACTTAAAACTCAATTTCTAGGTTATCTCTTTAAAGTTCAAAATTCTGTCACTGTATGTGTATGTAGCCTTTTAAAAATAAAACTTAGATCTATTCCTTTGTGAACTCTCCAAGAAATGCATTTTTTCAATACTCTATTTTATTTGGTATCTTTATAATTTACTCTTTTAGTCAATGGCTCTATTTTATTTTATTTTATTTTATTTTATTTTTCAACGTTTATTTATTTTTGGGACAGAGAGAGACAGAGCATGAACGGGGGAGGGGCAGAGAGAGAGAGGGAGACACAGAATCGGAAACAGGCTCCAGGCTCTGAGCCATCAGCCCAGAGCCTGACGCGGGGCTCAAACTCACGGACCGCGAGATCGTGACCTGGCTGAAGTCAGACGCTTAACCAACTGCGCCACCCAGGCGCCCCAATGGCTCTATTTTATAAGGTGGCTACTGTTAAAGCTTGAGTGAGCCACAAATGAAGAACACTGAAGTATCAGAAATGAGATTGATAGATACAAAGAATGAATGAGAGACAAAGATAAGAACATATAATCAATCTAGAGAAGAGGGGAGTAAGTAATGAGCATGTAATATCCAATGGAAAAAGACTTTCAATGGCTCTTTTTAAGTGTTCTGCAAGGTTCACAGGATACAGAAATCATCTGCAATCAGTCAGTCTGCAAGGACGTATTTAGTTTGAGCTTTTAAGTATGGGTAGGGTTTCAAAGAGAAAGGAATGTTCAGTGTAGAAGCAGGGTATAACACAAATATGAACACAAGTATAAACATTAGAAGAGACAATGTATGCTTGGAGATGACTACTAGCCCAGATGGAACAGAGTGTCCCTTATAACAGAATAAAGGACACACATCCAAAAAGGTACATCCAATCCAGGTTGTACAGGGCCTCAGGCCAAGGTGAACGATTTGAACTTTCCCAAGGTACTGGGAAGCTAAGAATGTTCTAAGCAAATGAGTCAGATAAATGCAGATGAATAGTCTCATGAAAATTAATCTGCTAGTACTACAGAGGAAAACAAAACAGTAATGCTAAAATACTAGATGTCTACAGTATTAAGCAGCATTTCCTTCTTAAAGGCAAACAAATCTCCAAGTTTCATAACCTGCAAATTTTCTTCCTGATATCATAAGGAGTCTTTTAATTGTACTAAGATCTGTGACACAAAGGAAATTTGCCCTTTATGAAAATGACTATAAAACCAAATAACCAGTTTAACCTGGACTGTCATGTAATATAGGATCTCATGAAAATATAAATCATATGTGAAGTTATTAAAATGAGATTTCCAACATTAACTAGGTCTGAGTCCAGATGGTTTAATCAAATTTTTACACAATAATGAAGATTATAGAACTACAAAGCTGGAGATCAAACAAACATGAAGAGGGGGAAGTCTCAAGGATTTTCAACATTCCATAATAAAGATCATTTTCGTAATGTAGTAAGAATGAAAGTAGTGAACAAAAGAAAGATAGGTGAGAAACACTTGTAACTACAAAGGTAAGGGACCTAGGAATAACAAAGAAGACCAGTCAAAGAAACAGGTAAAGATTTCAAGAGCCAAAACATATTCTACCATAAGTAACTCTAAACTATGTCCTAAGAGGTAACTTTTCAGACAGGCAGGTTCATCAGAAATGCTTACATTAAAAAAAAAAAAAAAAAAAGATTGGGTCCATTTGATTCCTCACGCAAAATGTTCTGGTGGAATCATATAGGCAAATAACATTTTAAATATCTAGCAAAAAAATTAAATAAATTTGCACAGTTTAGCCCAGTCTAGTTACAAGTATACCTAGGCTTGGCCACCTATGCCTACATGGTGCTATATTAAGCTATACACTACTGCCTACTAGCTAGGACTCTACCAATTCTGCTACTATGTAGAACCATATTTCACCTGATACAGAATCATAACCTGTTTCTTTTGTTGTTCTTCTTCTTCTTGTTTCAAGGTCACTTTTTACTTTTCACATGCAAATAGAAGCCCAAACAAAATTTTTCATTTTTCTTACAGACTTGGAATAAATTGATGAAAAACTACAGACTTTAGAAGAGTTGATATCCATTTTAGTATAAAGTTTATCCAGAAGTTACAAGGAGATACCTGCACAATGAAGAATGACTCTAACATATGATTTCTCCTCAGTAGTTTATGTGTAAACAGACTGAAGGTTTATTGTCATTCCTTTACCTTAATCCAATCAATTTTTAAATAAGTAACCTTTAGAACTGTTCTATGGGTAATGTTCACAGAAAAGATTATGCTATAACTTGAAATTATGTAAGAACAGAATTCTTGACAGTCTCCAAGACACATCAGAGAGAAACAAGAATTTTGTTCTCTACTATGCATCTTAGAGAGTCAAAGAAAATTGTAGCTACATTGTCCCTGAAACAAAGAAAGCTTCACATTCAATAGGAAATACATACTTTGGAGATTATCTTGACAAAAACCATATTCAAAACAAATCTCACATTATAAGATTACAAACCTTGCCTTGTTGCATTGAGCAGTCTACACATCCTACTTGAATATTTCCATGTTTAGCTCCTGGGATTATTTGCAACCTTTCAAAATCACTTCCCAGTATAACAATGTCACATCCAGATGCATAAGCCTAAAAAAAAAAAGAAAGAAAGAGAGAAAGAAAGAAAGAAAAAGAATAAACTTGTGAAGAAAGTATATATCACATACAATACTGGCATTAATATTATGTTTTAACAGAGTGATTTTAAACATCCTGTTTTTTTTTTTTAATCTGTATAATTCAAGAATATTTCCTTTACCTCTGATATTCAGTCCCATCAGCAAATTCAGCCAGTCCTGTCTGCAAAATGTTCACTTCCTTCATCACTAATGAATGGTACTGCTCTGGTCTAAACTATTATCATCTACCTCTTGCACTACTATTTTTTTTTAAGTTTATTTAATTTGAGAGTGGGCACACTCATGCATGAGTGAGAGAGGGAGACAGAGAATCTCTCATGAGACAGAGAAGGAGACAGAGAATCTCAAATAGGATCTGTGCTGTCAGCACAGAACCCCACCCAGGGTTCGAACCCATGAACTGTGAGATCATGACCTGAGCAGAAATCAAGAGTCAGATGCTCAAATGACTGAGCCACTCAGGAACCCCCCCCCATACTACTATTAATAGACTGTTTCCATTCTTGCTTCCCTCTAATTCCTTTCCACACACAGTCATCTTTTTTTTTTTTTTTAAGTAGGCTCTAGACCCAATGTGGAGCTCAAACTCATGACTCCAAGATCAACAGTTGCACGTTCTATCAAGTGAGTGAGCTGAGCTCCCCTAAGAGTCATCTCTTAAAAATCTTTATTAAAGCAAGTAATTTGCCCTGCTTAAAAACCCTTTCAATAGTCTATCCATTGGACATGGAATAAATCAACTCCTTACCATGGTTCAATGCCCTAAATTATTATCCTAACTCTCCAAACCCATCTCAAGCTACTGTTTCCTTCCCTCTTTTGGCTCCCATCCCTACATTGCCCTTCCTTCTGTTCCAGGGGCATACCAATCTTTTTCCACCTCAGTGTGTTTTATCCACCTCTCTCCTGCCTGATCTTTGTCTAGCTAGCTTTTTTTCAATATTCGGGTCTCCGTTCCCTCTGTCTCTGATTACTTTCCATCCCACCACTATTTATTCTTCTTCATAGCACCTATCATAATTTTTAAGTATCTTGCTTATTATCCACTTCAATTGCTGCAAGTTAAGTTTCAAGACAAAAAGAGAGCATACAAGCATATCTTATTCTCTGCTCTATCCTCCAATTCTAACTAACAGGATTTCTTTATAAACACCTATGGAATAAATGAAGTATCTAACGTCAAAAAACAGCCACCACAGCCAAACAAATAAACAGGTATCATTCAAGGCTTGCTGGCAAGCATTTTATACCTCTTTTCGGTTTTTACAATTAGCACAACTCTTCCAACCAGAACTGATTTTGCATCCTTTCTTTAACTTCTTAAATCACAGGAGTTTCTCCTGTTACAAAGTATGTGGCTGTCTTCCTAGAATTTACCTATATAAGCCAGCATGAAGTATAACACTAACAATAAAACATTTATCACAAACTGTTTCCCATCCAAAAATAAGTTCACAGTATTGGCAATTATTTACTTTCTCATCACTTTTGCACCTGCACATTTACCTTACTTAATGTAAAAAATATTATACTTAATATATACTTCATGACCTTAATTCCTATCAAAGCCACAATGTTTCTGTACCTGCCAGCAAAAAGTATTTGAAAAGAAATTTGAGAGAACATACCAATAAATATGCTCACATTACAGATAAGAAAATGAGGCCTTAATAGGCTGACATAACTTCTAAGTGGCAGAATGGGCTTCAGAATCCTGATCGCTTTTGATTCTTGACCTAGCGCTATTTCCCTGGCACCATTAGGACTTCCCTAGTTATTGTGCTTGCCCGAATTTTCCTAGAAGAAATTAGTGACAATCAAGTATGGTTCCACTAGTATCACACAGGGGAAAATCTTGGCTCAGTGAACAAACAAAAAAAAATCTCATGATGGTCTGTAAAACGATATAAACATCCACTATCAGAACATGAGACTTGTCACAAGACTATTAGCAAGAAAAATTTCCAAAAACTAATTTAAGAAAAATTTTCATTTGTAACACACTAAATATCTTAATATTTTAGAAAATGATTTTCCCCTCATTATTAAATTTTGATAAAGTACTGATTGTCACTGTATCCCAAAACATTGTGTCAAATTCTGAATGTTTACAATTTAGATTTCCCTACTTGTTAACAAAATTTTTTTAGTTTCCATTAACTGGAATGAACATGTATGTTTTCTTTCTTTCTTTCTTTCTTTCTTTCTTTCTTTCTTTCTTTCTTT